GGAAGCGACCGCAGTGGCTGGCTTGTAAACACGGGCACTCACGGGCCCAAGTGAGGCGCGCTCAGGCCAAAGTGGAGTGTCTCGTGCGAACGAAATAGCGCTGGTCGGGTTTTTAAGTGCTAGTCGAGGCAAAAAATTTTTGCGTTAAAAATGTATCGCTAGTCAGATTTATCGTTAATCGATGCATCGCTCGTTTGAGGGTCCACTGTATAGAGTAAAGGCATACGAAAACAATATTTTTCTACAGTTATCCTCCATTTTGGGACTAGAGAAAACGAAAATTCTTCAGATACAGTGGACCCCCGCATACCGTTGGCATCACATAACGTTTAATCCGCATACCGCTCGCTTTTATCAAAAATTTTTTGCCTCGCATACCGCTCAAAAACCCGCTCACCGCTGTTCGTCCGAGAAAGCGTCCAATGTGCGCCCTTAGCCAGCCTCACATGTGCCGCCGGTTTGGGATTGTTTACCAGCCAGCCTCCGCAGTAAAAATCCAAGCATACTATCGGAACATTTCGTATTATTACAGTGTTTTTGGTGATTTTATCTGCAAAATAAGTGACCATGGGCCCCAAGAAAGCTTCTAGTGCCCAAACCCCACAGCAATAAGGGTGAAAATTACTGTAGAGTGAAGAAAGAGATCATTGAAAAAGTATGAAAGTGGAGTGCGTGTCGCCGACCTGGCCAGGTTGTACAAGAAACCCAAATCAACCATCGCTACTATTGTGGGCAACAGAAAGGCAATCAAGGAAAACTGTTCTTGCCAAAGGTTTTAACTGTGTTTTCGAAACAGAGATCGCAAGTGATGGAAGATGTTGAAGAGACTTATTGGTGTGGATAAATGAAAAAAAAGCTAGCAGAAGACAGCGTCTCTCAAGCGATCATAAGCGAAAAGGCTAGGAAGTTGCATGAGGATTTAATTAAAAAAATGCCTGAAACTATGATGATGTGAGTGAATTTAAGGCCCGCAAAGGTTTTGGGTTTTGAGAGATTTAAGAAGCGTAGTGGCATACATGTGTGATAAGGCATGGTGAGGCTGCCAGTTCGGATCACAAAGCAGCTGAAAAAATATGTGCATGAATTCAAGGATACATAGAGGGTGAAGGACTGAAACCTGAACAAGTGTTTAATTGTGATGAAACAGGCCTGTTTTGGAAGAAAATGCCCAACAGGACCTACATTACCAGGAGGAAAAGGCACTCCCAGGACATAAGCCTATGAAAGACAGGCTTTGTTGATGTGTTTCCCAATGCTACTGGTGATTGCAAAGTGAAGCCTTTATTATGTACACTCTGAAACCCCAGCCCTTGGGCAAAAAAATTTTCCTCAAGGAAAAATTTGGGTGCGTGGAGGGCAAACAGAAAGGATGGGTCACTAGGGACTTTTTCTATGACTGGTTTACACCAGCATTTCCCCCCCAATGTGAAAAAGAAAACCTAACTAAAAAAAAAAAATTTAAAGAACTTAAGTCCTCCTGGTGTTAGCCGTCCCCCTGGCACCTACAGACGTTGCAGAGCGTTTTTATGGGGACTAAAATTTCATTAAGGTGAAGTTTTGCCTCCTAAAACCCCCCTCTCCTGCAGTCCATGGACCAGCGGGTTTTATTGAAAACTTCAAAAAACTGTCACAAAAGCTCTGTTTTAAAAGGGTGCTTTGTGTCCCCTCAAAACTAAACTGACTCTAAGGATTTTTGGAGAGGCACTTTAATATCCTCAATTGTGAAAAACCTTATAGGAAAGGGCTTGGGAGGGAGTGCAAGAAACCTTGAACTCTGCTTGGAAGAAACTGTGGCCAAAGTTAGACAAAAGGGATTTAAAGGGGTTTGGGGCTAACCCTGAAGGATTATGCCATTTGAGGAATCCATTGGGCTTTGGGAAAAAACTCCTTGGGGTTGGAGGTTAGGGGGATATGGGAAGAGTTGGAGGAGGACAAGAAGAACTAACCACTGATGAGTGCTGATCAACTTCAACAGCAAGAGGCCAACCTGAGGAAACTGGTTCAGAGGGGGGAGGAGAAAATTTGAAGAGTTGCCTACTACAAAGTTTAAAGGGAAATCTTGAAATTGGCAAAAAGTGCAAACCTTTATGGATGAATCACCCCACACGCTATTGCAAACCATGTGGTGTTTTATTACACTGCAATGTTGTGAAAACTTGAGGGAAGCAAAAAACGGGGGTACAGGGCCACTAGGGACAGATATGTTGGGGAAAAGAAGCCCAGTGACTCTGAAGCGGCCCTAGTGGCTTTAAAAGAAAAGGGGAAGTAACCCCAGAAAAGGACTCGACACCTCAATCTTAATGGAAGGGACCCCTTCAAACACTAACACCTCCTCCCCTCCTCCCATCCCATCAATCATCCCCAGATCTTCAATAAAAGAAATGCGGGAAATTGTGATCCCTTTTTTCATTTTGTGTGTATTAAAATTAACATTCATGTGGTAAATTTTTTTTTTTTTTTTACTTTTGGGTTCTTGCACGGTTTAATTTTGTTTTCCATTTTTTCTTATGGGGAAAATTCCCCATTGCTTTCCCCGATCATTTCGCATAACAATGACCCTTTTGACGGTTTAAAATGCTAGCGAGGGCCCACTGTACTACCTACACAACTGCTTTGTAAACAAATCTCAATTACTCAATTTTTATTCTTGAGGTTGTTCATGTTTAAACTATTAACGGGTTTCATATATAAATTTTGAGAAAAAAAAGATGGATAATGAAAAGTCTAATTAAAAAAAAAATAAAAACTTTAGTGTGCCCAAGGTGATTATTTTCGTAGTATTGGCGTCATGAGTAGATAAGGGCTTAGCGATTTTAATGTTACCTGCACACCAGCACAGTGGTAAGATATTTTTGGTACGGTCCCCATAAGTATAATTTTCAGAGTACATAAAAATACCAGTAACTTTAAAACACTTTAAATTTTGGAAAGTTTCCTGAAAATAGATAGTCATGGAAAGTAAACAAACCGGGTGGGGGGCCGTATTTTAAGGGCCCCCTTGCCCTTTAAAGCAAATTTTTGGCATAATTTTGACATCGCCGTATTTCGGGGAAGCCATAAGGGAAAAAGCCGTAAAGCGGGGCCCAACTGAAAACATTGCCCCTTTGGGTTTTTCTTCTCCGTGGCCCCCTTAACGATCACCTCCAAATCGACCTTATTAAGTGTATTTATGTAAGTGGTTTGTGTGTAGTTTGGGGGTCTAAATGATAATCTACTTCACAATATTCCCTTATGGGGAAAAAATTCGGTCAGTACTGGGACCTGAACATACTTCTGGAATGAAAAAAAGATCGTTAATCGAGGGTCCACTGTATTTCCTTACTGGGGTTTCCCGTTTTTGTTTATTTCTGCACTCCATGGGGGAAATGGAACGAATTCTTTCCCCTATAAACCCTGATGTTTTATGAGATCCAAAATGCCAGGGGCAAGGGGCTAGTAAACCCCTTCACCTGTTCATTTTCTAAATTTAAAAAGATAAACTTTTTTTTTTTTTTTTTTAGATCACCCTGCCTTGGTGGGATTTGGGGTTTTTTGAAAGAAAAACTTTTTTTTTAAGTTTGGCTTTTTGATTCAAGCCTTAGTTCTCATTGTGTCTTACTAGATTGTTTGAGATCAAATTATTTTATTCGATTTATTTCTTCCTTTTAATTTTTTTTTTCCCAATTTTTCGAGTATATGAAGCAAATGTTCAGCTTTTCAGGCATTACTTTTATGCCTTGCAAAGCATTTAAAAATCAAAATTGGCTCTCCCCCTTTCTGCTCCTTCCGCCCAAATTTATGAAAGAAAATCCCCCATAAACATTGCATAAAATTTTTAAAAGGTTTGTTTTAAATTTTTTATTTTTTTTAGTAGCAATTATTTCCTGTTTGGGAAAAAAAAAACCCTCTGAGTGCTAGTATATGCTATGAAAAAAATTGTTCTCAAAGTCTATAATCCCTTTTTTATTTTTTTTCCTACTGAAAAAAGGGGCAGTCTCTTTAAGAAACACTTCACCATCATTCATACAATTCTGCCTTGCCCCAAAAGAATTTACTACAGTTTAGAAAACCCCCCCAATTTCAATATCTTAATCCCTCCTTCAGAGGTACAGTGGAAACCCCCGCATTTCGGGGGCCGCGACTTTTTGGTTTAAATCCAAAAATTTCAGCAACTTTTTTTATCAAAAAATGCCTCCGGGTTTGATTGGGGTTCTGATTCGGCGACCACTGTACGTGTCCGACAGCATCCCAGGTCAGTGCGCCACACTCCCAACCCTTCCACTCAGTATGCCATTTTTTATCAGGAGTACCATCACCCCACGGGTTTTATATGTACATTTATAAAAATCCAAGTTTTTTCCTTTTTTTTTTAATTTTAACCCCGGGGGAAAAAAAAACCCCCTTTTTAAACCCGTTTAAAAATTTTGGGGAAAAAAACCCCCCTTTTTTGGGAAAAAAAATTTTTTTTGGGCCCCCCCGGGGGGGCCCCGGGAAACCCCCCCTTTTTTTTTATCCCTTTTTTTTTTTGGGTTTTTTTTAATTTTGGGGCCCCCGGAATTTTTGGGGCCCCCGGGGTTTTTTTTTTTCCCCCAAAACCCAAAAAAAAATTTTTTTTTTTTTTTTCCTTTAAAAACCCTTTTTTAAAAAAAAAGGGGGGGGGGGGGGGCCGGGGGGTGGGGGGGAAAGGAAAAGGGGGTTTTTGAAAAAACCCCAAAAAAAAAAAAGGAAAGGGAGGTTTTGGGTTTTTCCCCCTTTTTTTCCCTTAAAAGGGGGGGGGGTTTTTTTCCCCCTTTTTTTTTTAAAAAAAAAGTAATTTTTTGGGGGGGAAAAAAAGTTTTTAAAATTTTTTTTAAAGGGGCCCCAAAAAAAAATTTTTTTTCCCCCCCTTTTTCCCCCCCCCCCCCCCAAAAACCTCCCTTTGGGTTAAAATTTTTTAAAAAAACCCCTTGTTTAAAAAAGGGGGGTTTTTTTTCCCCCCCCAAAAATTTTATTTTCCTTTTTTGGGTTTTTTTAAAAAACCCCCCAAAAAAAAACCCCCCCCCCCAAAAAGGGGGGGGGGGGGAAAAAAATTTGGAAAAAAAAAGGGGGGGTTTTTTTTTTTTTAAAAAAAAAAAAAGAAAAAAGGAAAAAAAAATTTTTTTTGGGTTTCCCCCCTTTTTTTCCCCCCCCCCAAAAAGGGGAAAGGTTTTTGGGGGTTTTTTAAAAAAAAAAAATTTTTTTTTAAAATTTGGGAAAAGGGGGTTTTGGGGGGGGAAAAAAAAATTGGAATTTTTTAAAAAAAAGGCCCGGGGTTTTTAAAAATTTTGGGAAAATTTTGATTTCCCCCCCGGGGGGGTTTTACCCCCAAAAAAAAAAACCCCTTTTTTACCCCCCTTTTTCCCCCCGGGAAAAAAAAAAAAGGGGGGGGGGGGGAAAAAAAAGGTTACCCCAAAAAATTTAAAAAGGGCCCAAAAAGGGTTTTTGGTTTTCCCTTTTGGGAATTAAAAAAGGTTTTTTTTCCCCAAACCCCAAAAAAAAATTTTTTAAAGGAAAATTTTTTTTGGGGGGGGGGGAAAAAGGGGGGGGGTCCCCCCTTTTTTTTGGGGGGGGACCCCCCCAAAAAATTTAAAAAAAATTTGAATTTCCCCCCCTTTTTGGTTTTAAAATTTTCCCCCAAATTCGGGCTTCCCCCCTTTTTGGGGACAAGAAAATTTTTTGGGTTTTGGGGAAAAAAAAATTTTCCCCCCCCGGTTTACTCCTCACAAGTGTTCTGACGTATTTTTATTTATTCTAGAGTATATATCGTGTTTCTATGTTATTAATATTGTTTATTATGTTATATTAGATGAATTTTGATAGATAAATAAGCCAGAAAGGTGATGATAGCATTATATTAAAGATAATAAACTTGGCTCCCTCTTGCCCCCGCCCCCTCCTACCTGTCTGCCATACTTCAGCAAGAGTCTTCTATAAAGGTAAGTGGGGTGTTAAATGTTCATTTACCCATTTTATTATTGTGGGGCAGAAGTGTGTGGTTATAGGAGGGTGGGTGCATGTGAGGGAAAAGTTCAATAGATAGGGTGTGAGGGAGTATGTAGTAACAATAGTTTCATTCCCGGCTACTTTTTAAAGGGTAGGGTAAGGGTCAAGCTCCCGCTATTCCTGCCTTTTCCCCCACCCGAAAAGTGATAGTTTGACTGCGGCTGCTTGTTAAGGTAGGGTCAGTCTAGCTCCCGCTATCCCTTCCCCTCCTTTTTTCCCACCCCCGAAAGGTGACGTGTGGGGCTCCGGTCCAAACAGTAATCGCTAGACTCACAGTTCCCAGCACTACTGTAAGTACTTTGCCTGCCTTGTATTCTAGTGGATTTATTGGTTGAAAGCTTCACTTTTGACCATTTAATAAACTTAGTCCTTTCAGTCTTGCTCTAATTTGACTGTTGAAAATAATCACACAATCTTTTAGGTATTGTACTTATCATGGAGAGTGATTTCTTAAGCAGTGGGTAACCTGTCTATCTTTCCAGCTTGGATGACAGAGAGGGTCCCCTGCCAATCAACGAGTAGAATGATGGAGATGGACTAACGTCCTGAGACTTCCCCTTTTTGGATTTAATTCCCTGTGCACCTGTATGAAATTGCGGACATAACCCCTCATCATTACAGCGGTAAAGAACCGCTTTCCTGTCATCGGGATAGAAACTCAAGGCTATACTGTGAAAAAACTAGCCAGTGGGTTGTAACAACACTGCAACCCCCCCCCCCCCATCATCAGCAATGGCTACATTTCAACAACACACAGTGACACCAACACCAGACACCCAAGTTTTAAATTAACGTTGAATTCAGTTATCATTTATATTTTTAATTTTTCATTTTCTTAAACCCTTTCAAGGTCCGTCCCGTAGATCTACGGCTTTACGTTCAGGGTCCAAACCGTAGAATCTACGCCATGAGCTCAGCTCACTCTGATAAACTGTGAGTGGTACTTTTGGGGGCCTAGATATGAGAGAATACATCTATGTGGTATGTGTGCACCACATAAAACAGATCCTGCAGCACACTGTGTATAATGAGAGAAAAAAAAATGAAACCCATGATTTTTCGATTAAAACAGCAACTTTGCAGTGTTTTTTCGTATGTTTTTTTTTTGTTGTATTTGCGATTTCTTGGTCTCATTTGATAGAATGGAAGACATTATTACAGAAATAGATTTGATTTTGTTTGGGTTTTTTAGCACTGGAAATGGCTTGAAACTGAGCTCAAAGTAGCGGAAGTTAATTTTTGCCGATATTCAAGAGTAAACAAACGACCCTCACCGTCTAATACACGTCAGCTGGTGGGTCTAATATACATTCACAAATTGGTGATGATATTTATACAATTATTACAGTATTGCATAACATTTAAATCTTCTATTTTTTGGTGTGATTTAAAAATTCATTATGTGAATAAAAAATCAAAATGGAATTTATTTGTAAAGCCTCAAAACATAACTAATGAACAGAGGAAATGTTGGGTTTAGTGCCAGGAATGCCTACATTGTTCATTTGGACCCTATTTTGAAATTGGAATATTTTGAACTTTGTGTTAAATTTGGGCCCAAAATTAACAATTTTGATCACTTTTTTTTGTAGTTGAAACAGTGACTTGGCGATTTCTTGTGCTCAATCGATAGAAAGAAGTAATCTAGTGAAATAGCTAAAAATTTTGGGTTGATTGGAATAATGTAATTGGCCTAAAATGGGAGTCAAAGCCCGGCAAAAATCGCCGATTCGTAAATATCGCTGAACATCAAAATTTCGCGAGAGCATAATTTCGTCAATTTTTTCCCCCAAATTTCGTACTTTTGTTTTATTACCTTCACAAAAAGAAATTTTCTACGATTTCGTAAGAAAAATAACAAATTTTTTTTTGGAAAATTCTTGGACACTGGTTTCGTGACTCCAGATTTGGGCCTTGGACCCTGAAAGGGTTAATGTAGGATTAATATTTCATATTTAAGTGTTTTATATTTTATATTTTCTATATAATAAAGTGTTTATGGTTTGTCTGTTATTATTTCTTTTTCTATTCACAATTTTCCTGAGGAGCCAGCCAGCCTTGGTAATACTGTCTGAAGTTATTACAGGGCTGAGTAAGCCTTCACAGTGCAGGAGGGAAAGAGGAGTGATTGGTGGAAATGAAGTAAATGGTGTGATAAAACAGAAAAAGTTAGCTTCGAGAGGTTTTTTCGAAGCGAAGTGTTATAAGAAGAGTGAGTATATGGAGAAAAAAAGAAAGGTGAAGAAGAGTGGTGAGAGAGTGCAAAAGGAGATCAGATGATAGAGTGGGAGAAGCACTGTCAAAAAATTTTAATGAAAAAAAGAAAATTTTGGAGTGAGTTAAAAAAGTTAAGAAAGGCTAGAGAACGAATGGATTTGTCAGTTAAAAACAGAGTAGGGGAGTTAGTAGATGGGGAGTTGGAGGTTTTGGGTAGATGGCGAGAATATTTTGAGGAACTTTTAAATGTCGATGAAGAAAGGGACAGGGAGGTATACCATCTTTTAGGAGTGAAGAAGAACAGGATGTGAGTGTGGGGGAGGTGCGTGAGGCCCTTGCGTAGAATGAAAGGGGGTAAAGCAGCTGGAACTGACAGGATCATGACAGAAATGTTAAAAGCAGGGGGGATAGTGTTGGAGTGGTTGGTATTTTTGTTTAATAAAGGTATGACAGAGGGGAAGGTACCTAGGGATTGGCAGAGAGCATGTATAGTCCCTTTATATAAAGGGAAGGGGGACAAAAGAGATTGTAAAAATTATAGAGGAATAAGTTTACCGAGTATACCAGGAAAAGTGTATGGTAGGGTTATAATTGAAAGAATTAGAGGTAAGACAGAATGTAGGATTGGGGATGAGCAAGGAGGTTTCAGTGGGTAAGGGGATGTGTAGATCAAGTGTTTACATTGAAGCATATATGTGAACAGTATTTAGATGAAGGTAGGGAAGTTTTCATTGCATTTATGGATTTAGAAAAGGCATATGATAGTGGATAGAGGAGCAATGTGGCAGATGTTGCAAGTATATGGAATAGGTGGTAAGTTACTAAATGCTGTTAAGAGTTTTTATGACGATAGTGAGGCTCAGGTTAGGGTGTGTAGACGAGAAATGAATGTTTTCAGATACTTGGGAGTTGACGTGTCGGCGGATGGATTTATGAAGGATGAGGTTAATCATAGAATTGATGAGGGGAAAAAGGTGAGTGGTGCGTTGAGGTATATGTGGAGAAAAAAACGTTATCTATGGAGGCAAAGAAGGAAATGTATGAAAGTATAAAGTATAGTAATACCAACACTGTTACATGGGTGTGAAGCTTGGGTTGTGAATGCAGCAGCGAGGAGGTGGTTGGAGGCAGTGGAGATGTCCTGTCTAAGGGCAGTGTGTGGTGTAAATATTATGCAGAAAATTCGGAGTGTGGAAATTAGGAGGTGTGGAGTTAATAAAAGTATTAGTCAGAGGGCTGAAGAGGGGTTATTGAGGTGGTTTGGTCATTTAGAGGGAATGGATGAAAGTAGAATGACATGGAGAGCCTATAAATCTGTAGGGGAAGGAAGGCGGGGTAGGGATCATCCTCGAAAAGGTTGGAAGGAAGGGGTAAGGAAGGTTTTGTGGGCGAGGGGCTTGGACTTCCAGCAGGCGTGCATGAGCATGTTCGATAGGAGTGAATGGAGACGAATGGTATTTGGGACCTGACGATCTGTTGGAGTGTGAGCAGGTTAATATTTAGTGAAGGGAGTCAGGGAAACCGGTTAGTATTTTTATATAGCCGGACTTGAGTCCTGGAAATGGGAAGTACAATGCCTACACATTAAAGGAGGGGTTCGGGATATTAGCAGTTTGGAGGGATATGTTGTGTATCTCTATACGTATATGCTTCTAAACTCTTGTATTCTGGGCACCTCTGCAAAAAGTGATTGTGTGAGGTGAAAGTGTTGAATGATGATGAAAGTATTTTGTTTTTGGGGATTTTCTTTCTTTTTGGGTCACCCTGCCTCGGTGGGAGACAGCCAACTTGTTAAAAAAAAAAAATTAATTTGTCACTGTTTTCTGTATGTAAATCTATATTTAACCTTTAAAAAAAAATTTTTTTTTAATGTTTTTGGGTGTCTGAAACATTAATTGGAGTTCCATTACAATAGAACCTCAAATTTTGAATGTATT